TGGCCGTTTCATCCTTTTATCTTTCTGTTACTGAGTTCTAGTTTGATTCTGTTATGGTCAGGGAACATACTCAGTGTTGGTCCAGTTCTTTTAAATTTGTTGAGATTTGCTTTCTGACTTAGGATGTGGTCTACCTTGAAGATTTCATGGACACTTGAGAAGAATGTGCGTTCTACTGTTGTTGACTGAAGTGTTTGGCAAATGTCAGTTAGAGCCTGTTGGTTGACAGTGTTGTTCAGTTCTTTTACATATTTGCTGATTGTCTGCCGAGTAGTTTTAGCAGTTACTGAGAGAAGCGTGTTGAAGTTCCCAAATACAATTGTGAATTTGTCTTTTTCACCCTTTCAGTTCCTTTTTTTCCTTCATATATTTTGAAACTTTGTTGTTTGGTATGTTTACATCAAGGAGTGCTATGCCTTCTTAGTGAATTGACCTTTTTATTCTTATATAATGTCCCTGATTATTTTATTTTATTTTATTTTGTTCTGAAATCTACTTTGCATGTTACCAGTATAGATAACTCCTACTTTTTCTATTAATGTTATTGTGATATACCTTTCAAAAATGAAGGCAAAAATTTTTTTCCAGAAAAAAAAAAAAAGCTGAGAATTTGTTGGTAGAAAACCTGCACTAGAAGAACTGTTAAAGGAGATTCTACAGCTGGAAAGAGTACAGTACTATGTGAAAACATGGATTGTGGAGGAATGAGGAGTGACTTCTAAAGTTGAAATACTAACAGTGTATTGTGGAGTGTGTGACATATGCAGAAGTATAGTGCTTGACCACAATGCCACAAAATGCAGGAGGTGGAAGTGAAAATACACTGTTGTCAGTTTCTTCCACTATTCCTGAGGGGACATTATGCTCTAGAAAGTAGACTGTGGTAAGTTAAACACATGCATCGTCAGCTCAGAGGAATCACTAAGGTTGCAACAAAGATGTGTAGCTACTAAGCCAATGGTAGAAATAAGGTAGAATAAAAATATGAATGTAATCCAACAAAGGAGAGAGAAAGGAATAAAAGGAACAGATAGGACCAAAAAAAATTTCAGGACAGTAGATGTAAACAAACCATATCAATAGTTAAACTGTAAATAGTTAATTAAATGAATGATTAAATGTAAATGGTCTAAACATCCCAATGAAAAGGCAGAGATTGAGATACTGGATAGCAAAGCAAGTCCTAACGATGCGGCTCTCTACGAGAAATCCACTTTTTTTTTTTTTTGCGTTCCTTTCCTCTCCTCCCCCGTAGTGATAACATTCCCCCCCACAGTAGTCTTCCCAACACCTGAATTACTACGATGAAGAGAGTAGCACTGATCTAGGAAGTGATGCTCGGTAGTCATAACGATGACAATAATAATAACTCACATTTATTGGCCGCTTACAATATGCCCAGCGTTTTAATAAGCACTTTAACATGGGCTCTCAGAAACTCACTTTAGATACACATAGAAAGCTAGTTTAAAAGGTAAAGGCTGAACTATTTACAGTAACCAACACATAGAAGCAACCTAAATGTCCATCGACAGATGATTGGATAAAGAATTTGTGGTACATTTATATGATGGAATACTACTCAGCCATAAAAAGAGAAAAATAATGTCATTTGCAGCAACATGGATGGACCTGGAGATTGTCGTACTAAGTGAAGTAAGTCAATGACAAATATCGTATGATATCACTTATATGTAGAATCTAAAAAAGATACGAGTGAACTTATTTACAAAACAAATTTTTTAAAGAACAAAGCTGATAAAACAGCACCTTCAGTTTTCAAAACATTTAAAAACTATAGTAATCAAGACAGTGTACTGTAGACAAAAAGATCAGTGAACAGCATAGAGTCTAGAAATTAATCCATTGATCTGTGGTAAACTGATCAATTTTTAAGAAAAATTCTAAGGTATTTTGATAGGAGAAACAATAATATTTTCAAGATATGGTACTGGAACAATTGGATATCTGTATATTTTATTTTAAATGAACCTTGACCTTAATTAACTTGAAATAGAGTACGGATATAAACGTAAGAGCTAAAACTATGAAAATCATAAAAGAAAACATAGGAAAATAATCTTTGTGACCTTAAGTTGGACAAAGATTTCTTAGATGGGGCACAAAAGCTCAAACCATAAAATTAAAAAAATTCATAATTATCTTAATCAAAATTTAAAATTTTTCCTCCTTAAAATAAATGTTTTTAATTAAAATACAAATCTGAGACTGGGAGAAAATATTTGTAAAACATATGTTTCTTATTAGACTTGTGTCAGAATATGTACATTCTTACAACTCAATACCATCAATATTGCTACTATGAACATTGGGATGCACTTATCTGTTCGACATAGTGTTTTCGTATTTTCCAGATATACACCCAGGAATGGAATTGCTGGATCATATGGTAGTTCTGTTTTTATTTTTTGAAGAACCTCCATGCTGTTCTCCATAGTGGCTGCACCAATTTGTCTTCCCACCGACAGTGCACAAGGGTTCCCATTTCTCCACATCCTTGCCAGCCTCTGTTATTTGCGGACTTTTTGATGCTAGCCTTTCTGACAAGTGTGAGGTGACATCTCACTGTCGTTCTGATTTGATTTCTCTAATGATTGTTGATATTGAGCGTCTTTTCATGTGCCTGTTGGCCATCTGTTTGTCTTCTATGGAAAAATGTCTATTCAGGTCTTGTGCCCGTTTTTCAATCGGGTTGTTTCTTTTTTTTTTGTTGAGTTGTATGAGCTGTTTATGCATTTTGGACATTAACCCCTTGTCAGCCTCATCTTTTGCAAATAGTTTCTCCAATTCCGTAGGTTGTGTTTTTATGTGGCCAGTGGTTTCCCTTGCTGTGCAAAAGCTTTTCACTTTAATTCAGCCCATTTGTTTATATTTGCCTTCGTTTCTTCTGTCTCAGGAGACAGAGCCAAAGCCATGTTGCTGCAATGTAAGTCCAGGAATGTTCTCCCTACCTTCTCTTCTAGGAGTTCTGTGGTTTCAGGTCTTACGTTTAGGTTTTCAATCCATTTTGAGTTTATTTCTGTGTTTAGTGTGAGGAAATGTCCTAATCTCATTATTTTTCATGTAGATGTCCAGTTTTCCCAGCACCACTTATAGAAGTGGCTGTCTTTTCTCCGCTGTGTATTCTTGCCTCCTTTGTCATACGTTAATTGACCATAGATTAAATGCGTGGATTTATTTCTGGGCCCTCTATTCTGTTCCATTGATCTGTGTCTGTTTTTTGTGCAAGTACCATGCTGTTTTGATTGCTATAGCTTCGTGGTATATACAGTCTGAAGTCTGGGAGGGTGATACCTCTAGCTTTGTTCTTTTTTCTCAAGATTGCTTTTCAAATTCGGGGTCTTTTGTGGTTCCACATGAACTTTAGGATTATTTGTTCTAGATCTTGAGACGTCATGCATGGGTATTTTCACAGAGATTGCGTGAGATCTGTAGACTGCGTTGGGTAGTGTGGCCATGTTAACAATGTTAGTACTTCTAATCCAAGAGCATGTGGCATCTTTCCGTTCCTTTAAATCATCCTCAGGTTTCCTCATCGGTGCTCCATAGTTTTCAGAGTGTAGGGTTTCACCTCTTTGGCGAAGTTTTTTCCTAGGTATTTTATTCTTTTTGATGTGATTTTAAATGGGATTTTTTTTACTTTATTTTTCTGATATTTTATCATTAATGTATAGAAAAACAGTAGATTTCTGCATATTAGTCTTATATCTTGCAAGTTTGGTGAATTCATTTATTAGTTCTAACAGTTTTTGTGTGGTGTTTTTAGGTTTTCTGTATAGAGTATCATGTCACCTGCCTAACGTCATCAGCTTCTTGGATTTGACATTGTTATGGATGAATAATGGACCACTGGGGAGAAACCAGGTGAAGGGCTGTACTGTACTATTGTTGCAGTCTCCTGTGAATCTATAATGATTTCAAATAAATGTTAAAGTGAGGATGTGATTGAAGAGTGAAAACATAGTCTAAAATACACATGAGCAGGGAGGGTGTAGCTCAGTGGTAGAGTGTGTGCTTGGCATGCACAAGGTGCTGGGTTCAGTCCCCTGTACCTCCATTAAAATAAATAAATAAACCTGATTACTTCTTCCTCTCCCCTAAAAAACTAAAAACAATTTAAAATAAATTTTAAAAAATAATTAAAAATGAAGTGTACAATTATATATGTTCTGAAATGTGTGTACTCCATGAAGATGATGAATATAGTGTCAACAGAAGAATTAATCAATGGTCAATCTAAGAAAGAAATGGAAATATTAAAAATAGAATGAAATAGACGTGGACAGTCATGCATTAGAGAGTGGGAGCATGGCCCAAAGCTGTTTCATGTGGAAAATGCAACAGGAAGGCTGTGGGGTGAGCAACTGCTGTCTATTTGACACACAGCCATACTGACTATAAACCCAGTGTCCTGTCCATTTTGACTGCGTTTGACCAGGCAGCGGCCAGAGGGGTCCATTCTCGGGAGGGTCCATAGCTTTTCCTAATTGGACGGAAAGAAAGAAAAATTCTCCTGATCCTGAGGCTACTAGAAGCCTTCACACTGAGCAAGCACTAGCCACGTGAGGTACAGCCCAGGAAAACCCACAGTTCCCCCACCACCACTGGCGCACTGAAGGATGTGGTGGACAAAACCAGGCTCTTTAACCTCATCGGACACACAGCGACATCAGCCGTGAAAGGAGGACCTCAGCGGTAATGATGAGAGGAGCAAGACTCGCCCGGGACCTGATGAGAGCCAGCAGAACAGAAGCGAGCAGACGAAATGAGGAGTGAAGCCCAGAGGATTGTTTCCCCTACAATCGGAACTCAGTTTTCCTACCGGAATCTGCAGAGTCCTAAGAGAGGCGATGAAAGTTCTGAAATACGAGTGCGTTATGAAAAAGAACCAGATTATTTAGCAGGAAGCAACAACAGATCTTGAGAACAAAATATAATGGATCACATTTTACACCTGCACCAGAAATATTGGGCACAACTCAAGAGCAAAGTGATGCTGTTTAAAAGAGTCGATGCTCTCAAAATTAGGTCAAGCGTCGGGAATGTGTGGAATAACATTTAAACGATGTGTGTGATAAGCACAGAAATTTTAATATTTGACAAGTGCTGGCCCAGAAATACAAAATACAGGCGGGAAACAATAATGTATATTATCCCAGAAGCATTGTTTCCCCACTTGTCAGTGGAAGAGCAGTTTCCTGCTGGTGGAAACCCGCATGCTACCTAGTGTGACGCCGACGTTTTAAGCAATTTTTAGTCATTCTGAGTTTATCAGGTGAGTGTTTATGCTCATTCCTGTCCTCTGCCCCGGGGAAGATTACAAAAAGAAGAAAGCCATCATCTTGTCCTTCAAGAGCTCTCAATAGAGCTGAGAAAGCTGGTTCCCCAGAGCAGTCAAGATGCAGCAGGTCTAGCTTGATCAAGCACTCATTGTCCTTCTGGGGACCTGTGGACAAGAAAGAAAGAGGGAGGAAGAGAAAATGTTATTGTTCACAGATCTAAACAGAGGTTCTCAACCAGGAAAAACACCCCCATGTTCCCATTCTTAAAAGATACGATTTTTTTTTCCTTCCACAATGATTGAGGCTTCAACTGCCGTTTAACGGGAAAATAAAAGAGATATATTCTTACAATGAACAGAACAGTCACACATGCTGAGGAAATGTATCACCTAAAATGCCATTCATGCCCGTGTTGCAAAACATACATCTAGTAGTAGAGTTTGGTGTTTAAAGAACCCTGTATCAGTGGCCAGTAGGCACGTGAAAAGATGCTCAACATCGCTAATTATCGGAGAAATGCAAACTGAAACCAATGAAGTGTCACCTCACACCAGTCAGACTGGCCATCAGTAAACAGACTACGAGTAGTAAATGCTGGAGAGGCTGTGGAGAAAAGGGAACCCTCCTACACTGCTGGTGGGATGTAAATTAGTGCAGCCACTGTGGAAAATGGTATGGAGTTTCCTTAAAAAAACTGAAAATAGAGCTACTGTATGAGCCAGCAGTCCCACTTGGGGGCACACATCCAGAGAAAACTCTAATTTGGAAAGATGCACGCACCCCAGTGTTCATAGCAGCACTATTTGCAATAGCCAAGACATGGAAGCAACCTAAATGTCCACTGACAAATGAATAGGTCAAGAAGTTGTGGCGTATGTATGCAGTGGAATACCACTCAGCCGTAAAAAGAATAAAATAATGCCATTTGCAGCCATGTGGATGGACCTAGAGATTAGCACACTAAGTAAAGTAAGTCAGAGGACAGATACCATATGATATCACTTATATGTGGAATCTAAAAAAAAAAATGACACAAGTGAACTTATTTACAGAACAGAAACAGAATCACAGGCATAGAAAACAGACTTGTGGTTACCAAAGCGGGGAGGGATAAATTAGGAGTTTGGGATTTGCAGATACTAATTATATATATAATAATTAAATAACAAGGACCTACTATATAGCACAGGGAGCTATATTCAATGTTTTGTAATAAACCATAAGGGAACATTTAAAAAAAAAGAAGGACGCTGTATCACTACACCAGCCCGTGAAAATGAGAAGTGCTCAGTTTGGGGTGTTTTTTTTTTACCTGACACCCCGTGGAGACTCCTGTCTACAGCAGGCTTCGAGCAGGAAGGCACCCGCAATGACCAGGGCTGCGGCAGCCAGGCCCAGTCGGATGAGGTTCCCCGTGGTGTAGTCCAAGGCTGTGGTACGTGGGGAACCTAGAAGCAAGATGAGCAGCATTGACCATGCAAGGGCCTCCCTGCTTCCCAAATGGATCTGCCAGGCGTGACTCCCAGATGCCTACTTGGTTTCCCGGCTAGTGGCCCCCTGTACCTACCTTAAAGCTCTGGGGGAAAAATATGGGATTTTATGGGAGTTGTAGTAATTCTCCCCGCATCCTCTGCCCTTCCTGTTCTCTCTGCCTTGTCCCTCGGATTTCATTTACTTGCTGTTTGTCTCATTTCCACCTTCCCACGTTTCCTTTTCCCCTTCTCCCTCCATATATGAGGAATTCATTGTAGGAGCAACACTAAAAATCAAAATTGCTCCACAGAGCGCTGAAATAATTCAGTAGCTTCATGTACATCACCCCCACCCCCAGCACAAAACTTTATGCAGGCAATGAGCTTGAGAAAAATTGAGTTTAGGGGGTGGGAAGGGATAAATTGGGAGTTCGCGATTGGGAAATACTAACTGCTATATATAATATAGATAAACAGCAAGGTTCTTCTCTGCAGCACAGGGAACTGTATTCAATACCTGGTAGTAACCTGTAATGAAAAGGAATTCAAAAAGGAATGTATATGTGCCTGAAACAGTACACTGTACACCAGAAATTGATACATTGTAAACTGACTATACTTCCATCTAAAAACTTAAAAATAAATAATTTTTTTAAAAGAAAGATTGAGTTTAGTGGCTAAGCATCTGGACCACGGTGGATCTCAGCTTCAGCCAAGAAGGGCTTAAGCTTGGCACTGGTCTTGGTCCTGAAACAGAAGCCTGCATTTGCATCTTCCTCCCGACACATGCCAGTTACAGTGACATTCATCTCTAAACCCATCGGCGACAATGTTCCCCGAAGACAAATCCACAAGGAGAAATTTGTAATGATGCTACCTTGCTCGGTAAGCCTGCTCTGCCTCTCAGCGCAGACCCCACCCAGACCCTAATTCCTCGTTACAAAACATTTACTGACTACCTGGGAAGACTCGAGAGCATTGAAGAGAATTTACAAAGCTGAGAAAAGGAGAGTCCAGCAAAATTCCGCCAGGAAACAGTGTCATCTCAGAAGCACCCTTACAGCAAGGTCCGTGAGACGGGAAAGGATGTCACAGCCACTTCCCCCCACGCGGAGACTGTGGGAACAGCACTCTGAGAGCAGCAACAAAAAATTATTGGGGATAAAATCACGATTGCCAGAATAAACCAAGCTTCAAGAGAGACAGAATTTCTGGTAGAAGGGATTCCGATAATGGTGGGCTGGATCATTTTGAAGAAAAGCATGAGAAATTGACCAAGAAAGCACAATAGGGGAAAAAAAAGGCAAAGGACTGGAAATAAGGAAAGGAAAGATGTTAAAAGGAAATGACAGAACAAGTGATGGAGAAATGTGAATCAGAGGATGATGGTCGAACACTCACTTACTTAAATTGAAAACAAACAAAAACTTCCTCAAACATCATGCAAAATCTTACCTGTGACCCGGATCGCAAGGTGATTACTGGGGTGGGAGGCCAAGAAAGGGGCCCTTG